ACAATAATTAATTATACAAGATGTGTCTCTCGAGTCGAGTAAAAAATATTTATTCTCTAAACTATTTTTTGGTAAATCTAGAACACACTCCGTGTAATTAATTTTTACACATGTGACAAGCATCGATCACGTGTATATAAAATATAGATGCCACGCGAAAAATAGCGGAGCTACTTTTACTTATTGTTCACGGACTATCGCATTGTAATTTCATTCCTGAGTAATTAATACACCAATCGTAACCGATGCGCGTAATGGTCCATCGTTCGTGCAGATTGACAAACGGAGAGCAAATAGAAATAGCGATGCCGATATTTGCGTACAGCCACGGTGTAAATAACACATATCAAAGGACGCGCATATGAGCATATAACATTGCCGAAGTCCTATTTGACATGTCAAATTTGACAAGACTTATGATAAATAGCCACCTGCTTACTCTTCCTAGGAACATAAATAATCTTATTTATCAATCTAATTTCTCAAGTAAAATAATTAAGTCGTGTTCCATAAATTAATTTCAAATTTATGATATCAACTTAATTTATATTATTGCAAGAGACACGACATGGGAAAAAGTAGAAGAAGTCGATATCGTGCATGTATATTAATGCTAAATTATAAAGTAACATCAATTGCTACAAGACAAACTACCGTATTTCCGCTCAATGATAGTTGTGCAATGCATTCGCGACGGATTGTCGAGCTGACGATCGAACCGATCGAAGAATAAAATTCTCGCTATGGCGATAACGTGCGTATATTAAACAGGAAACAAATTGTGCACTATAGAATGCGAGTGCCAATAGGCTATAGAATCGCGTCGAGCCATACAGTTTTTTATGTATTCTAACGGCACAGGCATAGCAATCGGTGAATTACGCGAGCTACAAAACCGTCCTCCCACTCCCTCGGGGATGTTCCACGAATCCCTCGATAATTTATCGATTAAGTCGTGCATGGAATACGAATCCCCGGTGCGCCTCCGGACCCTATCGCGGATTAAAGCGCGCGGTGCATTTGTCATATTGTCATTACTCATTGTCAAACTATCGCGAGCAGCCCCCTCCCGGATAGAATTTTTTTTTATTCTCGCCGAATGTTGCAGAAAATCGACTCGTTTCCAAAAGGATTTACTTTCCAGTACACCATCGAGAAACGTCATTTGTAAAGATTTCTTCCGCCAAAAAAATTTGTACATATAGCAATATATTAATTTTTTTACTACTTATACATATATAGGTATATTTACTATAATCATCTTGTAGTGAATCCTAGTAATAAATAACCAAATGTTGAGTAAAATACAATAATTTTAATTAAATGTTCCATTAATATAACCAAAAATAATTTTAGTTTTCTAAATATTTAGTAAGTATTATAATATAACCTATCATTTATATAATAATAATTATTGAATATTTAGAAAAATAAAATTATTTCTAGTTGTATTATTTGGATATTTGATTAAAATTATTTCACTCGACATTTGATAACTATTATCAGACACTCTTTTTTCAGTGTATTCAAACTGCAATAATTTCTTCATTAAAGCAGAAAGGTCGGTTAAATCAGGAGAATATAATAGTAGAAAAAGAAAAAGCCAAACGTCACTAGTCTCAAAAGGGCAGCTACTGTTATGTACACGTGAGATCCTGAATGACACGACTTGTGCGGAATCACGCGTCGAAAGTCCACACGCCCGTCTCGCCCATCTTAAGTGCGATCGCGTGAAGAAGAGGACGAAAGGTTAACGGCGTGTAAATTTCACTTGACACTCCCTACAGTCGGCAAATTTCGTTAAACGCAAAAGTGTCAACGAATGACTGTCGTTAAGTTTAGTGGCACTAAACTTATCTATGTATATGACTGCGATTTCCGTTAGACACGGAAATCGCAGTCATATACATAGATATAGAACGTACTCGTGAATTCTCGTTACTGCAGCCTTTCATTTGAGGATTCTTTCAAAGATTTAGAGATTGTTTCTATAAAAACTATGCTTCGAATAAAATGAGCGGCATTCTTTTTGATTTAACCTTTAATCTTTATGATGCTGTGACTATGATACAGATAGAGTACATACTACTACATACATATCCACGTAATTGTAAGCACGTTCGATGTAAAATCTGACTTAATATAAATATTATAATATGCTCGCCATAGTGCGCACAAAAGAGTCTACCAAGGTAACGTTAGCTCACTTTAACGAGCAATATCCGATATAAAATGTAAATGTAATGAACGTCATTCTGCATATGCCCGCGCCAGCAACAGATATTTATTTTAGACGGTAAGTAAACAGAAAAAGCTACACGTCGAAAATGAACGGAAAAAATGAACTGCGCGTAACATTAAATGCCTAAAATGTAATAATAAATACGTAAAACATACTGAAAAATATTATTATTATTATTAGCCCTTTGAATAAACTATAAGATATATCGCGAAAGATAAATTAAATTTTGTCAATTAAATTTTGTCGCGTTTATTAATAAGTGACGAGGTTAAATATGAAAACATTAATAATTCGAACGTACTTTAATTGCTAATTATCCGCAATTGCTAATTATCCGCTACGTTATACAGCGTGTTTACAAAAACCTTTGTTAAAGACAAGCATGACTGTCATCACAGGGTGATGCTACCAATTCACGTAAATGTTGTAAATTACCAACGTCGGATAACCGTCGGATTAAGATCGTAGGCACGGAACTTACCCCGACGTACATACATATTTTGACAAGGGCAGCAAGGGTTAAGACCAAGATTTAGCTCGTCTATGTAGACACAGTTCCGTAGTCGTCGGTATAGTCGATATCAGACTGGGAGACTTCCCTGTTCTTTATTTAAAGTTAAACACGAAGAAAAACAGACGTTCCAGAGAGATTGGTATCGTAATACTAATTTATTCAATACTTCCGTTAGATTTCACGAAAGATTATAAAACGTGGAGAAAAAGCTCAGTAATCAATATGTATCTCTCTAAAATCTTACAATATTAAAATAATAATAATGTTAAATAATAAATTTATTAATAATAAATAATAAATAATGTTAAAAGCGTTTAAAAATAGAACTTTAAATATTTCTCTTTGCAAATTGATTATATCCATATTATTCTGTCTTTACTAAAATTAGATCAATATTTATCTTAGAGGAAACCGGGGTCAGTTGACTATAGAGGTAAGTAGAATAATCGAGGCTACATTAAAAACAAACACGCGTAAACGTGTATGAGCACGCAGCAGCGACTGCCGCTTAGTCTACTGTAACATCTTGTTAAGAAACATATCTATATAGAAGTTAATTTTTAAAAAATCGTACATCTAAAATATTTTTATTCTTAAAGTTTTTGTTTTACAATCGTATATGATTGTCTGAGATATTTGATTTCTATTAAGATAGTAAGTGTAGTTCTTACTCAATAAAATCCAACAGATTTTTTTTGTTTATGTGCCTTTGTTATTTCATAATCTTCACTTTTTAATTTACATCAGCAAAGTTAAAAAGCCTTTTCCGGTAACATATAAGTAAATTGCCAGGACTTTATACGTATATTATAAAATTAAATTATTAAATTGCTAAAAATGTTTTTTTCAGTTTTATTAAATACTTTTCATTTAAAGATGATGCCAGAAATATAACATAAAATATATTTTATACGTGTAGCATAATACATACATATACGTTATAAAATAACAAAGAACATACATTTTTAATAAAATATTGAAGAATGCTCGAAAGGGTAAATTTTATTTTCGCATCTTTTGCGTTTTTTGAAAAGCAATCATAACTTGAAAATCATAAAACTAATTCGAAGAGATTAAGAGATTATTAATCAAAAGAAATCGCATGTAGAAATCGCCTACCTAACGAGCACGCAAACAAACAAACAAACAAATACGTCACGAGGAAAGAAGTAATGCAAAATGTACGGGAATTCTTCATCGGGGTGGGAACGGAAAGCGGGTAAAAGACGGCTAAAGATAATGTACCCCTGCATACAGATGACGTTATTAAACGGAAATCTGCAGATGGAGCGAACACATAAAGCACTGTCTACCATCGTTGTCTGATTAGGCATGCAACGTTTCCCATCTCTACTCCTCCTCCTTCCTCTTTCCCACAGCGAAATACTAAAAGCTCTCTCTTTCTCTCTCCCTCTTTCTCGCTCTCTTTCTCCTTCGTTACGGACACGTGGCACGCCACGCCGCCACGTAAATTCCGTAAAACGATAACGGCGATTTTAACACCGCATACAATGCAACATTGCGCGGCAATGCAGTTCGTTCACAGTAACGAACTCGAGGGAGAGCGCGCTTTTCTCCAATTCCCGCATTCCGGAAATTCAACCGAGAAATCTAACTTTAGCTGCGGCTCATGTAAAAATGCTTCTGTCATATAATAAAATGCAAATGTATCGCAACGCAATGTACGCAAATATTCATATTAAACCTTACCGTACCAATATGGGTAACTAGTGACCGAGCGATTCCTGTTCGTACAAGTTTCTTGGAGTCTTTCGGTAATTATAAATTATATATACTACATTTTATTATTTTCCAAAATAAAGAGTCAATATTTATTCTAGAAAGTTGAAAGTACGTTGGTGAATTTTTAGAGATTTTTTGAATTATTTTGAAGAGGCGGGAGAGGGAGAGAGGGAGAGAGAATAGAGACAGACAATAGAGCTTTTGTTAGACATTAATTTAATTGGTTGCTTCCAGCAGAGAAAGCAGCTTTGCAACTGTTGTAAAATTCTTTAATGTATATGACTGATTTACACATTTAGATCCAGTAAGGAACAAAGAGCAAGACCAATCATATTGAAGAATTGTACAACAGTTACAAAGCTGCTTTATCTAATAAATGCAGCTATTAATAACATATCGATCTTGATGAGTGAACTTTAATTATTCCAAAATTCTGAACGAAATTTATTTTTAATTTCAACGAACAACCGAATAATTTTTCATACCAACAAATTTACTTACAGACTGATGTCTATTCTTCCGCCAAAGCAATATCGTAGACGTTATCGCTCCTGCTCCAATAAGCCATGCCATCGAAATGCGATCCTTCCTTCCTTCCTTCCTTCAGAAGACACAAACTTACTGAAAATTCGAAATTCGCGAGGTTCGTCTCGACACTTTCATCCGACACTTCCAAAACGCGTAATTGGCTTTTAGCGAGTAACAACGCTAAAACCTGTCACAGTCCCATCGTCGCGACACTTTCCTTCGTACAAGAAAACAAGTTCGAAATTTATTTTAACAGACATGCACCGATGAGAAATACTTGCGGCGAAGACCGTCGTACGCGATATCGGCGAATGAATATGATAATTTAACAAATATGCAATTAATAGAGAGTTTTTGCAATACTGTGTATCCAGATACAGTGAACGTTAAAGTCTCGTTATTTAGTAGAACTGCGCATGTGCAGTTTTGACTTTTCACTGGGTGCTTTCCATTTGATGACACAAGTCGACACGAGCGTCATTCTATCCTTGTTGACATTCAGAGAGTGACAAAGATAGAACGACACTTGTGTCGACTTGTGTCATCAAATGGAAAGCACCCATTAAGTAACGTAATTTTAGTAGTTGCTTTCCATTTACACACAAGTGAAACTGAGTCTGAAATGAGCTGAGTATTTTATACTCAGATTAATGACGTCACTACTTGCTTAAGCCCAGTTTTACAACTGATTGTTAACTCTTAATCGCGCGCGAGGTTCAACTTATTCATTATCACTTTTCAATTTTAGAATTGGAAAAAGATGAGAAATAAGTTAAACCTCGGTTAACCGTGAGTTGTGAAACTGGGCCTTACTTTGGTAAAAAGTTATCACATGTCAACACAGGTTCATAACCCCACTTTGAAGTGAGTTTACGAGACTCACTAAAGCACACGGTCTCGATCTTGCACAGATTATGCAAGTTATATAAAAAATCAGTTGAATCTCAGAATAATCTTGTCAGAATGCAAAAGGAACGCGCATTCAACTGAGTTATGACGGCACAAGTGGGAATTATCTGAGAAACAGTGCGAAATGGAAAGCAACTAGTATTTACTGTATTTGAATACACGGTATTGCAAAAACTTGCGACCGTTTGCGCTAATTTGATACAGTAGGATGATTGCCCGGCACTTTGCTCTGCACTCCCGACGTTCATTCACTTGAAACTCACCACTGTCGCGTAAAAAGCGTAAATAATAACAGAGCGGCAATCATGTTTTGCTCCAACCGCCGCGAACGCGAAACGCAATGACATAAGATGGCGGATATTGCGCCGCGCGGCGGCGATACGCGTAGCATACTTCACGCCGTACATGTGCGTAGCGCACTTCGCGCTGTAACTACACATCACGGTTCAAATAATACTTCGAATATGGTCAACCGCAATAAACCGTTAACGCTTCACGTATATATCTGGGATACATTTGCATCAAAAGCCTGTATTACTCATGCACTTAAAACGAAATAAATAGATATATTTTCGAACGTTGAAAAGAAAGAAACGAAGATGAGTGGAAAAAGTGCGAGCGACGTGAACAGACAAAATGGCTGCGTTCAGCGGAGAAAGCAGCTTTGCAAATGTTGTAAAATTCTTCAATACGATTGGTTCTTGCTTTTTAGGCTTTCACGGGTATTATCTTCAAAGATACTAGAAGATTTGCGGATTATCGCGTTTTTATCTATTGCTAATGTTTTGTGAATCTTGCCGTTCACTTCATCAGAGCGAGGAGCGTACTGCGATACTATAAATGATAGGAGCGCAATGATACTGATGAATATTATCAATGGATAAAAACATGATGATAGCTCGCAAACCTTCTGGAAAATAATAATATTGAACAGAAACCTATGATATCTATGCAACAATTTTTAGGGATTTCAAGTAACGCAATTAGACCTATTACATCATTACGTTTTACACGTGATGAAAAAGCTATGCAACGATAATACAATGATATCCACATTGTCGTTGAATACGAGCCCTGAAATATGCATCTGCAGCAATCGTTTGGTATACAGAGAAAAGGTTTCTTTCAATCAAATAAATTTATACGTTGGAATAGTCCAACCAAATGGATGTTTAAATTAAGAATATGATTATTTTCATCAAACACACACACACACACACACTAAATTTTTTTGACTAAACAAAATATGTTTCATTTAAAATTAAATTTGTTTCAATGAAATAAATATATAAAATAGAACTCTCGAGTCCAAACAAATCTTTTTCTCTGTGTAGCAGAATTTCCATTACTCCCGATGCGCTATCACACAATTTGTATTGTGCAGCGATAAGTATATAAAATAATTTAAAACGCGCTAAGGATGATTTTGATAATTATAACCCGAACCGGTGTTTATATATATGCGATGTCCGTGCAAGTGAGAAAATGCCATTTGTAGCGATAGTCTGCACTAGTCTTCTGATAGATAGAACGGACACCCGGCACATTGTTCGACACTCCTGATATTTATTTATCCGCACGATTTATTCCCGTCGCGTGAAAAATAAGAGTAACGCGGAGCGATATTACCTCGTTCCGAACTGCTGCCGCGCACCGCTGCAAAATAAAATTGGCCAGCACATTAAGATGGTAGAACGTTATTAGAAAAATAATCCCGTACAATAGATATCTAATCTTAGAATAGCGAATTAATATTTATAATTATAACATTTTATATTTTAATGCTCCAATCTAGTCGGAGTTGGCAATTTTGGTAATTATTATCGCGATTATTTTTTTTTAAGTCACTCAAGCAGAATACGAGTCATCATAATCAAAATTATGTCAAAATGGCTCCGAAATGATTACTAAAAATTATTTTTCGATCAATAATGATTCATTTAACGTCATTTTGATGTTATCGTGACTTGTTCTGCTTGGACATAAATCAAATTAATATTGTTTTCAACGTATATTATAAATAATATGTATAATACATATTTATAATATATATTATAATATACATTTGTAATATACGTATATTATAAATATGTAGCCATGATCGCTTTACATATAATTTATTCTATATTTTTCATATAATTTCTAATTCTCGGTTTCACGAGGAGATTCGTTATCGTTATTACGTTGAATGATAAAATGAAAAAAAAATCACAAACTTGAAACTTATAATACATTCATTAAAATTATTATTATTTATTATTATCATTATGTCGGGATATCTGCCAGTCATCGTAAAACTTATAATCATTCTTCATAGAAATACGAAGTCATTCGACCGCAAAAAATGACCGCCTCGAACATAATGTTGGTATGCAAGCGTGAAAAATTTAGTGGGCCAAGGGTGAGAAACACGCGAACGTTTGGAAATTTTTCGAACGGCATTCCTCGTTGGGATATACCGGATAATAATTTCACCGGTCACGCGCGCATTCACATATGTTATACATATATTCCGAGAGCGACTGACGGGGAAGAATCTTCCAAGATTAACGATTCCGTAAAATTTTCAGCCAGATTCCGCGCCGAGGACGGTACCGACGGTATGCTCCGGCAGGACGAATATCGAGCGTCCTGTTTTATTTTTCATGTATTTCCGTTTAACGTTGCATCAGTGAAATTTAGGTCGCGCGAAGCCGTTAAGTTTCTAGATCGATAAAATTTTAATAAATGCTAATTCGCGCCAGGGCCGATGTACGGTTAATACCCACAAAATTAAATCGTTCTCCAGCTCCCGTGGAGACCGCTTCATTATGAAGAGCGCGGCCCTTTCAAGAAGAATGTTTGCCCTTTCACTCCGTGTACGAAATTAAGAAAAGAGGAGCTGAGAAGAATAGACGAGAGCAGTATCGTCAACCTTGTCGGTGGTCCAATCTTGGAACATCACTGTCGACCATTAAGTTAGTCTTTACTTAGACGAGCTGTTTTTACTGCTTTCTTAACTCACTCGGGACTTCTGAAAATAACACGCTGTGAAAACAGTCTGCTATGCAAATATGTGCCTGTTTAAATAATCTATACTCTTTCTCGAATATAGTATATAATCTCATATTTTTTTTAATAATATAAAAGTGATTAAATGTAACGTTATATAACGTATAATAACGTAATAATCGCCTGCTACGTATCGTATTATTATAATCGTAAAAATTCCATTTTGGATCGTGTATAAATATTTTGTTTAATATCAATTTGTTTTTGTACCTCGCAAATAAAATGATTTACAATTACGATGTGTCATAAAATTCCGCGAAGCAATTTTATTTTAAAAGGAATATCTATAAAATTTATATATTGTGTTATCGCATGCAATTCGAACGATTTTATGGGAAGGCCGCTACATCAATCAATTCTACCGAATGAATTCGTGACGCCAATTGAAAAGCAAAAGTGATAAGGACGAATATGGCGTACAAAGTTTATTAGTACATGCAATACCGGTGGCGGCAAACAATCTAAACCTTATATTCGACAGTTATGAAACTGGAGGGAATTCGAAGCACTGGACATGCTCGGTAAGTTGTTCAGGCGGAAACATAAACGCAACCGAATGTATTATGCCTGCGTAAGAAGTACGCTGTTGTTCTATACGGACGCGCGGCCGCAGGACTGCGATCAACATGCCGCAAACATCTGTACTGTAAGTGCAGAGATAGACGAACGCCAAAGCCGTAAGGGGGTCGTCAACTATGTACATAATTTCTAACTTCTAACTCTATCCATTTCTGCAACGGACGATCCGGACTGTCCGGAAGCGCCAAATCTCTCCGCGCCCAGCGCGCGGTCAACCCCAGATATATATGTTCACCTGATGCGCGAATAGCATCGCGCATGGGAATAGTCTCATTTGTATTTGTTTGTATGCTGCCTCATTAATAAAATGGATCGGCAGCAAAACAGAAAATTACTCGAATCGCGATACCAGTGCCGTAAAATCAGGCTATCGTATAACTAGGGCAAAATATAGATCATCACGACCTCATTGTTTTATTATCCAATACAGGATATAGACAAGAAGATAATACTGCTAAATTTAAATATTAATTTAATATATGTATATATACGTTTTGTTCGTATTAATCTCTCTCTCTTTTTTAATATTTATATAAAAAGAATAATCTTGCTCAAATATCTAAAAATTTAAATAGATACAGATATAAAAATAATTTTGTTCGACCATTAAAGTAATTATGTAGGAAACTCAAGCATGATGAGAGCAATACTGCAAAAAGTTTTGATATTTTAACAACTTGAGCCCTATATAATTATTTTAATAATCCAACAAAATTATTTTCAGATATCTAACTAAATTTTTCAATGCTTCAGCAAAATCGTCAGTGTACAAATTAATTTTACAAGTCTCATATTGTTTAAATTTTTAATTTATAATTCGATTATTTTAATATATTTACAGCATTCTACAAAAACGCGTGTTTTGAATTTGTTTATCGATTACATTGTATATATGTACAAATCGATCGGCAATCATATGCAAGATCAGACGATCGTTAGTTGTCATGACCGCGATAATCTGACTTGACTTCGGCTCGATTCAACCTCAACATAATTTGGCTTACATCCTTTTTCGGCAGAAAATCATCAAAATTACTAAATTCCAAATGGGGTGGGGTTTGACAAGGACGCATTGCCAGTGTAACGGCAGCCATGGTGCATCGACGCAAGTGCAGAAATCCGCTCCATCAAAACAAGTCCTGCCGGCATGCCCTCCTATCATAACGGCTGCAGTGAAGTCCACTTGTGGAGCAAGACGGATGTTCGTTTCTGTCATCATCCTGATCTTTTTGCTGGCCGCTATATATTGGGTATCCCTGCACCAAACGAGCCCCGGTAGCGTACGTCGACCAATGAGAATTCAACCTCAAGCTTCGCGAAATATCACGCCGGAGCAACCCGGAGCTGCGGAAACGACTCAGAGATAGAGGTAACGTAACTAATAATTCTAATGCCTTCGGAAAAGACAAGCAGAATAATTCTATAAATCCAAAATGGAAATTTATAACAAGAAAAATACTCACTCGTTGCAATTCTTTATTGTACTAATGTAATTTTTCAACGTATAATTTTTGCAGCTTAAAATATATCAAGATTTGTATATCAAAAAAAAATAAAAATGCTTTATATTTAGTCGTAATTATAATCTCAGATATTTTTCAATGATAATACCAATTTA